TTTTTCATCAGTCTCATGCTCGCTGTTTGTGTTTGTGCTCTTACAGCGTTCTCTCCAACGTATTGGTTTTTTGCTCTCGGTCAATTTCTGATTGGAATTGCGACAACTGGTATTTATACTATTGGGTTTGTACTTGGTAAATCTTTAATTTAAAATATTAGATTTAGATGGTTATAAACTTTCTTCTCTACTACTAGTACTCTTACCGTCATTTTGGTTTAAATGAACATCCACAATGCATAGTGAGTGAAGTTGTTGTTGATAAACAAAAGGTCGGGTACATATAATTCTTGTTTTATCTATTTAATTGTCCATTTTTTTATTTTAATCATATTTTCAAATTTATTTCTTATTTTTTTACTGCAAACACACAAACGTCTGTCTGAACAATCTTCACAACAGATCTCGTTCATGAGATCTCAAGTTACCAGATTACTCAACCAATCATAGAAGGCCTTGTGTACAGTGATTATGCTATCTGTGCGTCCAATCTTGGCTGTATATAAAGTGTTTTCTGTACGAGATCTCCTACCGAGGTTATTCAGATCTTTGGGCTTTCACGATCATAAGTAATTGAAAAAAAAATTACACACCAAAAAGGGAATAATCAAAATAAAATGCGACCCTCTCTCAAAACTGTCTTGAAAATGCTGACCCCTCTAAAACATAGGATAAAATAAACAACCCTTCTTACAAACTCCCAACCCCTTTTCCCTGGTGATAAACAACCGTCCATTACTCTATGTTTCGAGAGTGAATAAACACGATCAACGGGGTTAAAAATATAAAGATAAGGCGTCAATTTATTCACCAACAACAATAAATTTGATAGAAAACTAACAATATGGCCAAATGTTAACCTCACAACGTTCCTTTTTTGCAGCGATCAAAAAATAATTACATAAGGAAGCGGAAAAATAAAAAAAACGACTTCACGAAGCTGACAGATTAGAATCAATTAATGAACAATAACAATAGTGAATTAATATTGTATTAGAGAAATATATGAACAAATAATTTGATTATAAAACATCAATCCTACTTGTCAACAATAACATACCACAATTCTTTATATTTTCATAGTTTGAAAGTACTTCGATTTTCATTACATGTATTCGTTTATCATTGCTTAGATTGAATTTTATGGAATGCGTGTTTCTGTACTTTTGTTAAAGTTTATCTGTTTTGCCTGTATTTTCTTTTTAATCTTCGTCTGCAATATAACCATTTCAATAAGTGAATTTGTATTTGTAAAAAGAAACACAGCACATACACTGTGATCTTTCTTTTACAAAAATATTACACATATATAAGGAAACTGCAAGCAGGAATCTTTTATTCGTTTGCTAATGTTTTCTAGCTTTTTGTTGTATTTTTCTATAGGAATAGAACTGGTAGGACCAAAGAAACGCAACTTTGCTGGTATGGTAATTTGCATATTCTATGCTATGGGATATATGTTGCTAGCTGTTATTGCATTTGCTGTAAGTGGTAACTGGAGGCAACTTGAAATCATATTGGCAGTTTTGACTGTGCCGTTCTTTTTATATTACTGGTGAGTAATAGTTGACATGTGCTACAAACATCTAGTGGAGTTCCGGTAATTTGTTTAAGTAATATTCAAATTTTCAGAAAATGTATCTAGTCTACAGCAACATGGCTGAGGAAAATGCATGGTTTGCACAGTCACGAAAAAGTTCATTGAAAACAACTAATCGTGCATAAGTCACACGCGAGCACAAGAAACGCGCAGAGTAGTATTGAGTGCGCCTGTCTTATGGACAATACTGTCCCGCGGCTCTCTTGATTTTGAATAGGTTTTTACCCGAGTCCATCCGATGGCTTATGCAGAAAGGAAGATATGACAAGGCGGAGGAAATCTTACAAAAAGCCGCTAAAATGAATAAATGCGCTTTACCTGACAATCCTTTGGAAGA